CCCACCTCCCAGTAGAAAAAACAGTGGAAGAGGTCCAGAATCAAAGTCTAATTGCTCCAATAACTCAAGAAGAAATTAAGAAAGCGGTATTCAGCATAGGCAAAACACAAGCCCCAGGCCCTGATGGATTTACGGCAGGTTTCTACCAGAATTATTGGGAGCTAATCAATCAAGATGTGACCCAAGCAGTATTGGCTTTTTTCCATTCTGGGCATTTACTAAGGTTTTTCAATCGTACTTGGATATCTCTAATCCCCAAGGTAAACAACGTAAGGACCATGAAAAACCTAAGGCCAATCAGCCTTTGCCAAGTGATTTACAAAGTCATAGCAAAAATTTTGGCAGATAGATTGAGTAGAGTGTTACCTAGGATCATTTCCGAAACTCAAAATGGGTTTATCAAAGGGCGTCAAATTTCTGATAACATCCTGATCAGCCATGAAATGGTTCACCATCTCAAAACCTCAAAATCCAAGAAAAAAAGGTGGATGGCAGTGAAGTTAGATATGGAGAAAGCATATGATCGTATAGAATGGCCTTTCTTGTTCGAAATGATGAGGATTCTTGGTATACATCCTAGATTCATCTCTTGGGTAAAAGAGTGCATCACCACAGTGTCATACTCGATTCTCATAAATGGTTCCCCATCAGAATATTTTAGACCTTCAAGAGGACTAAGACAAGGAGACCCTTTATCGTCTCTCCTTTTCGCCATCTGTGCAGAAGGATTTTCTAGTATGATAAGAAAAGCTACCTTCGCAGGATTCCTTGAAGGAATCAGAATCCGCCCTAGTTGTCCGATAATTTCACATCTATTTTTTGCGGACGACTCATACCTTTTCTTATCCGCCTCGCCGGAGTATTGTACATCTCTCCTTACTCTTCTTCAGGCTTACGAGGATCTGAGCGGCCAACGAATAAACTTAAACAAATCAGCCGTCCTTTTTAGTCACAATACAGATCCTTCCCAAGCTCAATTTATGGGAGCCCAATTGGGTGTTGGTACAATAGGAGAGCATGACTCCTATTTAGGACTACCAGCCATCTTATCTAAATCAAAACGAGTGACGTTTCAGTACATGGAAGAGAAGCTTATTAAGAAACTACAAGGGTGGAAACAACGATCACTTTCGAAAGCTGGGAAAGACATTCTCATTAGAACTTCGGCCACTAATATACCAGTACTAGGTATGTCATGCTTCAAGCTCCCCAAGGAAAATTGTAGGCGATTAAACAGTCATATCGCAAAATTTTGGTGGGGTACGTCGCAAAATTCAGAACACCCAATTCACTGGTTGTCTTGGAAAAGCCTAGCTCACAGCAAGTTCCATGGAGGTCTTGGATTCAGGGATTTTGAAGCCTTCAACCAAGCGTTGTTAGCTAAACAATGTTGGAGGATATGGACCAATCCAAACTCATTAATCTCCCAAATATATAAGGGTCGCTACTTTACTCAATGCTCGGTGTTGGAAGCATCAATTGGTTCAAACCCTTCGTGGGGGTGGAGAAGTCTACTCTTTGGAAGAGATCTACTCCTACAAGGACTAAGATGGCAAATAGGTAATGGCCATAGAACCCGAGCATTCATTGACAAATGGGTTCCGGAAGATAAACCCTTAACCCCAAGTACTCGGCCCCATATTCAGAATGGATCACCTATGGTATCTTATTTCATAAAAGAAGGTCGGGGGGAATGGGACGTTTCAAAACTCGAGAATTGCTTTGAACCTCGATCGGTTGATCTCATAAGGAAAATTCCTCTTCCTCGATACTCACAGCAAGACATTAGAGTGTGGCACTTTTCCAAAGATGGAAAATACACAGTAAATTCGGGTTATCACTTAGCTCTGGAAATAACATTGGCATCAAGTCGAAAACCGATAGTGCATATCATCGATCCTCCGATTTGGAAAAAGACTTGGAATATCCAAGTCCCGCCTAAACTCAAGTTCTTCATATGGCAATGCCTCAAAGTCATACTACCAACAGTAGTAGCCCTCCAATCTCGTGGAGTAAACTGCCTTAAACGATGCCCCGTCTGCTGGAGACATAGAGAAAGTATTGAACATTTATTTTTCAGATGCCCCTTAGCCATCAGATTGTGGACTTTAGTGGGATTGAGCAATTTTATTGAGACCGCCCAGACTGTTAACTTTAGTCTATGGTGGCGACATGTCATGGTCTCCGAGACCTCCCCATTCCACATTCTCCAATGCGTTTGTTTACTTTGGAGAATCTGGAAGTCTAGAAATGAAGTGACCTTTGAATTTACCCAACCTCATGTCCGTTCCCTAGCCAGACAGTTCTACAACCAGGTCCTCGAACTCTCCAGTCTCCCTCTCCACCCTCCTCCCCGCAGCTCCCTACCACCGATCTTGCCTGCCACCACTTGGATCCCTCCTCCAGAAGGTTTTTTGAAGATCAACGTCGACGCAGCCGTCAGTGCCTCCGGGTGTTCGTCTGGGCTTGTTATTCGCGGGTCAAACGGGCATGTATTGTTGGCGTTCGGGTTGCAGCATCAAGGTATAGTCAACCCTTATCTGGCTGAGCTGCTAGCGCTCAGGGATGCTATATCTTTTGTGGCCTCAAGATCCTTGACCCATGTGATAGTCGAAGGTGATTCCGAAGTGGTCTTCAAGCAAGTCCGTCAAGGTGTCTCAGAAGACTCGATTGGTGGTCCGGTGCTTCGAGAGTGTCTTCAGATCCTTAGCTCCTTGTCTGCTTGTATAGAGTTTAGGGCGGTACCTAGATCCGCCAACAGTGCTGCCCATAGAGTGGCGCGTAAAGCACTGCTTTTGTCTCTTGTAGAGCTAGAATCTTTTGATTTTTTGGGGTGGCTTCTTTAGAGTCTATTAGGGGTCCTGGGTAGAATTGTAAGTTTAACTATTATTTCTCCCTGATATCACTCAGAAAAAAAAAAAAAAAAAATGCTTGCGAGACGGTGACTCGGCTTCTAACTCCATCAACTCTGTCGGCGGCGATCCCCGAACTCCGCGACCAGGCGGCGAAACCTCTCCGACCTTATGCTCCGTCGTCTGCTCTTCATCGGTCGTCGTCGCGGCTGGAGCCACCCTCCCTCGCGCGACGAGGATTGTCGCGCGGTCTTTCTGCTCTGACGTTTCGTCAATCAGCAGCTCCCGCCTCGCCCCTATCTCCTGTGACGAGTCTTCGATCCGACGACTAGGAGTTGACCCCGTCGTCTCCACATCCTTATCTCGCCTGGCGCCAGTCAGCTCGACCGCCGGCTCTTCGGGCAGCCAACGGCGGCCGATGCGACGGGCTCTGTCCCGCAATTCGGCCCACGACAGGTTCGAGAGCTTTGAAGAGCTCATCGTCGAACCAGTTGTAGAAATCGTCCCCGGTTGAGAGTTGTGGTGAACTCAATTCTCGAAACCGGGCTCTGATACCAGATGTAGGAAGCCTATTTTTAGGGTTCCAACGAATGTGTTTGGAAATTGGGAATTGGTAGAGATTTAGGGATTTTAGAAGAGAAGTAGGGATTAGGAACAGAATTGGGGATTTAGGAATTTGAGAAGAGAATTTGGGGAAGAATAGAGATAGAATGGCCGAAACCTTTAGAGAGAAAGATAGACGAGATTGAGAGAAGATTAGGGATTTGGGGAGATGACTTTTCTTATTAATTTCTGCTTAATCTGAAGAATGACCCAAAATACATATATATAGGGAAATACTAGAAAACCCTAAGAATAAGGGACAGGTTACGGTGATTACTACTTTGTAGTAATCACCGTGGTTACTAAGGGTAAATTGGGTATGGAAAAATAAATTATATTAATTAATTTTTTAATAAATTACATTTAAGGTAGTTACAAAAATCCATTAATTAAAATTCTCTCTTTCTCTCACTTCCGTAATCTCCAGCGAGATTTCCTTTCCATATTTTTCTCAATCTTTCTGCAAAAAAAAAAAAAAAAAAAAACGAAATCAGTACCAATCCATTAGACAAACACTACCACTTTGAAAAATATCAATACCATTGCAGAAATAAATCTATACCATTACACGAAAACTACCATTGCATAAATAAATTTATACCATTACACGAAAACTACCATTCAAGAAATAAAAACACTACCATTTCACAAAACATCAATACCATTGCAGATTTAATCACTATCAATGCGACAAAATCAATACCATTGCGACAAAATCAATACCATTGCGACAATAATAATACCATTGCAACAAAATCAATACCAATATGATAAAAATAATACCATTACGATAAAAATAATACCAATGCGACAAAATCAATACCAAAACAAAGCAATACCAAAAAAAATATACCAATCCCCAAAAATACATACCAATCCCCAACTTGCACAAGCACGGAAGGTTGGCAGGAGAAAATATATAGAGAGAGAGAGGGGATCAGAAGGTTTGGAGAGAGAGGGAGGGGGAAGGCTGGCCTAGGCTGGCATCACCATCTAACACCTCCACCGCCATCTGAGAGAGAGAGAGAGAGAGAGAGAGAGAGAGAGAGAGAGAGAGAGAGAGAGAGAGAGAGAGAGAGAGAGAGAGAGAGAGAGAGAGAGAGAGAGAGAGAGAGAGAGAGAGAGACGGCAAAGGTGGGCGAGGGTCGCCGGAGGGTGGGCGGCTGCCGGCAGTGGGAGGGCCGCAGGATAGGTGTTGACGGCGATATAAAATAGGGTTGGAGTAGGTTTAGGTATAATATATAGAATTAATTTTTTAAAGGATAGAAATCAGGTGTGATATTTTTTTTATTCTCAAAATTACCCTTAATCTAATCTTCACCGTCAATTTAAAATTAGAGTAAAATATAGATAATTAAGGGTCTAGATTTTAGTAGCCACGGTGATTACTCAATTTTGAGTAATCATCCTAACGCGTCCCTAAGAATAAACCTAATTCTACTAGAAGACTACTAACCATAATAAGAATTATCCTAATAATGATTATAATAATAATATAGAAAAATCGTGTTTCCCACAACAACAGATTTGGCTAAATGTTTGCAGGTCCACCCTGCATCGAGTGATGCCAACTGGACAAGAACGCTACTCGGTGAGTTTAATAGCTTGTGTTTACTGAATATAAGCCATAGGCTGCATTTTCGATTTATCTTTATGCCAATTTGAGCTGGAGGTTCTATGGTTGGATTTTTTTCCCCTTCTATTTTGTCAAAGGTACTGCTGCCATGCTCTTCATGTGTTTCAGTTGTTATCATATCGCAGATGGCGTTCTTCATGGATCCTAATCCAGATTGCATTGTCGAGTGTTTAGAGAGTTGTTGCAGCGAGTCTTGTCCTCCCAGGTACTCTTCTCAGTTTCGTTCTTTTTATCCCTTTTGCTTATTGCTGTAACCGTGGATGTATGGGATTGAATGATCAAATGCTTTTGCGGTCGCGATTGCTTGAGGTTTCTTTACCTGAATTACCATCTTGAAAGTGATTGCAGGTTTCCTGCTATACGGAGTGGCGATTACTTCACTGAGCGGTTTAGGCTGACCTATGACTAGTAGAGTGAAGGCTAAGCACAGAATGGCATCTGCTTTGTATTATATATCATCTGGTTTTTTCTTCTCTCTGTTGTAATTTTGTAAAATGACAAAACATAAATTCCAAGGTTTGAATCCGTGGTGAATGTTATTATCCACACATTCGCCGTCGGCGTCTTCGTCGGATGAGGTTTCTGACGAGATTGGCGGTGGTCCAGCCACCTAGGGGTGTACATGGGTTGGGTGGTTCGGGTTTAGTCATTTTAATCACTCGACCCATGCACTACGGTTTGGGAAATACCAAACCCGAACCCACCCAAAAAAATTTAAACCCTACGGTTTGTTTCTAATTGAGTTGGGTCGGGTTGGCAATATGTTTAAGTAAAAACCCAACCCAACATAAAATATATAATTATTCTACATCATAAAAATATTTTATAACTAATTAAAATTTCAAATGAATGAACCAAGGTGAAAGGTATCAAAATTCACAAATGTTGTTTAAATTTTAATAAAATGTGATTTATTTCAACATATGTCTTGTTTTTTTCACGATATTTGTTGAAATAGGCTAAAAATATTATAAACAAACGCATCCATCATATGTTATTTTATTAAAATTGTACACAAGAAAAAGGATTACGTGAATCATAACTATATTCAATTTATGTCTAAACTTTAAGTCGAAGAATGCATTAGATTAGGGAGACCATGAGAGAAAAATATGGCGAATATCTTAATTTTCTCATAAGTATATGACTATATACGACATAAATATTTTTTAGATCCGAACTCATACTAATAGTTGGAACACGGGTTGGGTCGGGTTCTACGGGTTGTGTAATCCAAAATCCAAACCCAACCTAAAATAGGCGGGTTGTACAAAAGAAAACTCTCACACAACCCAAAACCTTCGTTTTAGCGATAAATACGAGTGGGTTGGGTCGAGTTGGATGGATGGATCAGTTTGTGGGTTTGTTTGTTCACCCCCTACAGCCACCTACTTGCGCAGAATCAGAATGTACTTTTTTGTTTTGTTACCTGACTTACCTCGAGTCAACAATTCAAGTCTAATGCTGGGCCTGACTGGAATATTACTTACGTGGATCCATCTTTATGGACTGAGCCCAGCCCACTTTAAAGTTGGGCCTTTAGTCAAAGCCATGATAATTGTTCTGCCGGTTGTTTACGAAGAAAAAAATAGAACAAAAGTACAAAACAAACGAAACTCCGCCTCGCCTCGCCTGTCTTCTTCTTTCCTTCTTCGGTCTTGGGTCTTCCTCAATCCTCCGTCGCCGGCGGTTTAATATTCCCGTCCTCAAAGTTGACATTCTGGTTATATGCGGAGACGCCTCTATTCCTCTAAGCTTGGGAGCTACGCGTACTGATTCTGTGATTCATTTCCGGGCAGCAAGCTTTTCTTTCTACGTGGCGTAAAGTTTGAAACTCGAAGCCGATCTGGTCGTGATCCATTGGGTTAGTGTTCATCTTTCTTCGTCACCAATTGTTTTCCCCTTCGGATGTTTATATCTCTGATTACCCGGAAGAAATCCATTCCTCTCAATCTTCCCAATCTTGGATTCAATCGGAAGCTCGTCGTATGAAGGAACTTCGTAGCTTCTTAGATCGTTTCCTAGACTGCCTTCAACCTGTTCGATGAATTGTCTGACTTAGCTGATAAACTTTCGCTATCTCTCCAATCGCGTCAACACATTGAATGTTTGAAACCCATATAGGATGTATATACGTGGATTGATTTTCTGGTGTTTGCTGGTTCTCCATCTCCCACCCAGAGTTTCAGCCATAAGGAAAAACATTGGCTTCCTGGGAAATCAGCTTTGTAGAACTACTGTTCAAGGAAGGTATCTACTTTCAGACGAGAATGGCCGTGTATGTGATGCTCTATCGCTTGATCCCCAATCCCGATGTTGCCCCATGAAAGGAGAGAGGTTCCCCTGTAAAGGGTGCAATCTTCTCTCGCAATGTTGCAATTCCTATGAATATTGCGTTTCTTGCTGCCTGAATCCTTCCACAACACTTGTTGATGAAGTAACGAAGGTGAAGATGGCCAAGACTGCAACTTCGGGGACTTACCCGAGCGTGTTCGATTTCTGTTCAGGGAGGTGCCGCCATAACTCTGGCAGCGTGGTTCATGAGAATGCTTATATCAGCGAGTTCCACCATTGCTTCTCTCTGCCTTCGAATCAATCTGTGGATGATCACACGCAGCTAGAAGCACGGCTGATTGGGGTTAATGTGGTGATTGGCGGGCAAGGCGAGTCGTGTGATTTGGTCTGCAAGTCGCAAGGGCAGTCGTGTATTGTCAACAAGCTTCTGGTGCTCAATCAGTGTGAGATTATGAAGAAGTATATGAGTTGTAAAGGAGGGTGTCTGGCTAGTGTCGGAAGTGATCAGCCTGCTGAAGTTGTTGATGATGCTCCAAAAGATCTGAATCCCGGGACTTGCTTGTACACGAAGCCACAGTCGATGCTCTCGTGTGACGGTTCTCATCCTCATACCCAGAGACTCTGCCCCTGTGCCTAGTGGTAACACAAACTAGTGAGTTAGCTGATCTGAATTCATCACTGTACTGCTGTATCATTGAGAAATTTTTGTAACAATGACGGAGTTGAGAATGAGTGAATGACCCTGTAAATTGTAAGGGTCTCTTACTTGAGCCTGCAGATGGTTAGTTGCTCTTCCGCTTCTTTGCTTGTTTATGCTTATAGGTTGCTTGCTTCAATGAATGAATACTACCTCAATTTTTGGGGATCCTTTTTGCTGTATTCGTTACAATGCAAAGTAGCAGAATTGTCTTTCAACATGTGCAATGGTATAACCTTTGGTATTAGCTCTACTGTGTGTTTGTCAGCGGCTCTGATGTGAACCTACCATCATCTTGTTCTTTCAAGATCAGCTTAAGGTTGGCATTCATTTCCTCCTCTTACCAACTATTTTGCACATTCCAATCTACAGGTTGTAAGTTGTAACTTCAATGTTGTTTTTACGTGTGCAGATGTCCAGAGACAAAACTCTTCGTTTAGCAGCACTCTGGACTTTCGCAGTAGGATAATGGCAACAACTGCAAACCGTCACCACCGATCAAGGTATAGAGAAATTAGACGCTTCCAAGCTCGCGCCACGTTGCTCGTCGGCCGGTTAACATGACATTGACTCCTGTGGTTGTAAAAGAACCCCCTAATTCCTGAATTTTGACTATGCGGGCAGTAGAACCCAAAAAAATTGTCAAATCTCTTTCAGGAAGAAGGAAAAAAACCAAATGCCAATGTGACATATCAAAAACTTTAGCAAAACGTATACGCTACTCACTTCAGTTCAAGGATGGTAAACCCGTATTGCAGATTGTACTGAATTGGTAAGATATTTTGTGATTACATCGTGGTTTAATCATGTTCGATCGGTAAAATTTATACCCATTTAAATTTCAACATGCAAGTTTTACGACCGGGCTGACGGTGTAGTTTAGTTTATCAAAGACACATCATTTAACTTCAATAACAAAAATAATAATAATTATTATTATTTTCAACATTTGGAATAAGCTTTCTTATTATCATTATGCGGGGATTTTAGTTTACAACGATTGATGGAAAAAGTACGTGTATAAGACATCAACCATTTGCTTGGGAAACCACCAACACAACCACCTCTCCTTCCAGTCATAGAATACTCTCTAGACACACTTGTAAGAACCACAGCCACACAGCGCGCGCAATGGCAACCACCGCAACCGCGATTAGCAGCGCTGCCGCCGGCCAACTCCACGACGACGTCTACGACCGGATGAAGGAGGTCCAGGAGTTCGAGGACTCGAAGCTCGGAGTCAAAGGTCTGGTTGACTCCGGCATCTCTTCCATCCCTCGGTTCTTCGTTCACCCGAACTTCAAGCCGGACCCCAACCCGGGCGCCCGACCCGACGTCATCCCGACGATCGACCTCTCCGGCGTCGACCGCCAGGACGCGAGGGCGAAGATCGCGGAGCAAATCTCGGGCGCCTGTCGCGAGCTCGGGTTCTTCCAGGTCGTCAATCACGGGATTCCAGTGGAATTCTTGGACCGATTCGTCGGCGCCGTCAGGGGGTTTCACGAGCAGCCGACGGAGGAGAAGGCGAAGCTGTACAGAAGGGAGCCCGGGACTGGGGTTTCCTTCTTCTCCAACATCGACTTGTTTCATTCCAAAGCCGCTAGCTGGAGGTAACACGATCGAATTCTTTTCCCTTGGTATTAATCTCCGATTGAAATGGTTTGTTCGGTTCCAATTGTTTCGTTTACTGACAAGGGAAAACTGTTGATAGAAGTATGGCATCAGAACTTGTGATTGTGTGTTCGAATAGATATAGTCAAAATCGCGATTTTATCGTAGAAAGTTTTTTGGTGATGTAGAAGGATAAAAGCGTAAGCTTTTTAAAACGCAATTGTGACTACACTAGTTAGGAAAGACGTGATTCCACATAGAAGCATTAAGTGTTAAGTTCATAAGTTTTAAAACGCGATTTAGACTACATTGGCTCGAATTGTGTCCCGTGTTAAAAGATCGGTTTCATTGTTTTTTTCCCCAGAGACACACTCCAGATGAGGTTAGGACCCACTTTACCAGAGCTAGAGGAAATCCCTGCCGTATGCAGGGAAGAGGTGGTGGAATGGAATCAGAGGGCGAAACAGGTTGGGGGATTGCTGATGGAGCTCTTGTGCGAAGGGCTAGGAGTGAACTCAGGGGCTTTGAAGGAGAGGAGGTTCTTGGAATCCAGAGTGATGGTGGGTCATTACTACCCTTACTGCCCGCAGCCTGATCTAACTGTAGGGATTGCATCCCACACAGATCCAGGAGCATTGACCCTGCTCCTCCAGGATCAGGTCGGGGGGCTCCAGGTCAAGTTTGGCGAGCAATGGGTTGATGTCGTGCCTGTTAGAGGGGCTCTTGTCGTCAACATTGGAGATCTTTTGCAGGTAATGCGCTGCGCCTGAAATTACACTTGTTGTTGGTGAATGAATGATTCGTTGTTTGGTGGTTTCGTTTTGTAACTTGGTTTTCAACTCAAACTGCAGATAATGTCGAACGACGAGTACAAGAGCGTGGAGCACAGGGTGCTGGCGAATCCAACCATGGAGCCACGGGTCTCGGTCGCTGTGTTCTTCAATTCTGATGAGCAGGAGTCCGTTCTGGGACCGATCCCGGAGCTGATCTCGCCTGAGAAACCTGCCGTCTACCGGGAATTCACCAAGTTGGACTACATGAGAAGGTTCTTCACCAAAGAGTTGGACGGCAGAACCCTCACCAATTTCTACAAGCTGTAAGAAAAAAACTGGTGCATGTGATCGCTTGTACTTGGCTAGAAAAAGAAATTGTGCTCTCTCATACTAAGTCGTGTCTCGTCTTGCACTAGTGGGATGAAAAAGTACATACTGATAGATTGTAAGCAGAAGTCTAGGAATAAATACTGACTAGTAATCAGCCCGCGCTCCGCAGCGGGATCTGTTTTATTTTGGAGTTGTTGCGGAGACCACGTGGAACATTTGAATGTTCAAGAGCACAGTTACTCAAAATACAGGACATGAATGCATTCTGAATCTGGATGAACCATGAGTTATTGGCCGGTTTATACACCAAAAGTAAGCGAGCATTAGTTCTTACCCTTGAAACTTCCACGGTTCCACCTATAGGTAACCATGGCTAAACATTGATTCTGGTAAATGGATACCAACTTTGTCAAGCATTGATCTTTCGCTCTTGTTTATAGTCATTGCTAGGTAATCACCCGATTTGTTGCAATTTAAGGATAATCACAAAAAGGTCACAGTCACACATACATACGAAGCTGAATAATCATTGATGGATTAATTGGAAGGCTGAAAACATTCTTTACCATACAATATAGGAGTTCTTTCTAAAAAATTTAAATTTCCTTGTATTAGCTTTCATATCGGTGAGGAGAAATATAGAAGCATCCTAGCAAGACTATTATCTAAGCATAAATCATTGACCATAAAGAAATCATTTTTCCGGCCACATCACACACCACTTAATTCCTAAGATGTTCTTAAAATTTTATATAATATAAGACGTTTATCAATAGGTACAATCACGACCAAAACCAAGCTACCTAACACAGCTACAGCGAGTAAAAGAGTTATACTCAAATGATAGTTATAAGAGGGGAAGTCCCTTAACTATATTTCCCCACCATTATTAATCTACCTGCCATTTGTGAAGGACCTTCACCGAGGTTTCCGCACTCGGAAATCAAACGAAACGGAAAAAGAAAACTTCAATGGCTCGGTCATGGCCGTCAATGGCTCAATCATGGTTTCAAGTTGCTTCATACCACTCACTTGACTTTGCTCACCGCAAATCTGGAAGATTGAGAAAGAGAGCCCTAACCCAGAAGTTCCCCACCGAATGAATCTTTGACAAAAAAAAAAAATTTGATCAGATCAAAGTGAAATGGAGGAAGAAACTTCAAATGAAAAGGTGCTAAAAGATGGAGAGCAACTTAATGAAGGGACTTCTGAAGTAGAAGGTGCATCGAATCTGAGAGAACAAATTCATAGTTAAAAGCAGAGTTGCTCCATAAAAAACAAAGGAGACATTGTCGGCACCACACTGCAGATCATTTGGCGGATCTGAGAAAAAGGAAGTGAGTATGTTCATGAATGTTCCCATCAGTCCCAAACTTTGTACAGCTCAAAGAAAGAAGTCTAAACTTCTCTTGACAACATCTTCACTTCCATTTGCTGACAAATTGTTATTACCAAATAAGACCACAAACAAACAGCAACAGAACCCACCATTTCTATTATCAAGATAATTCATATCCATGACTATAAGTAATGAAAGTTTTAAAGAATTAGAACTACATCTTACCCACACTACAAAGTCGTTCTTCATGATAAAATTGAACTTACTACACAATGTGAGAAGAAAGTCCAGATCTGGGGAATTTGCTCTCTGAGCTTTTCCATTGATGAAACAGCAGTATATATACAGAGATTTACACTAATTAATGTAACTTAACGGCTATCAAAACTAACAAACAAATTGACCTATCTAAGCTGTACACGTAGCCTAACTACAGTGAATTATGAAAGGCAGTCCGTTGATGAAGTGCTGCGTTTTGTGTGCCACTTATTCTGCACGTCACCGTTTCACTCTGCTTCATCTTCTTTGTCTTGAACGCTGCCGTTTTGCTCTGTTCTTCTTCCTTCGTTTTGTTCTTCAATTCCAGAACAGAGAACTTCTTCTTCTTCTTAGTGTTAGTGTTATGGTATATGATCCACGATTGAACCTCTCCCAACAACTCGAGTTATTGGGATCAACTGGTTCTTGACATGGTATCAGAGCCTTCTGTGACCGAGAGGTCTTGTGTTCGATTCCCGGTGACCCCCATTTGTTAAGCACATGGTATTCTTGTCTTCAGACCTGTGCAAACTTCAAGCCCTTGTGAGTGGCTTTCGTTTGAGGGGGCGTGTTAGTGTTATGGTATATGATCCACGATTGAACCTCTCCCAACAACTCGAGTTATTGGGATCAACTGGTTCTTGACACTTAGCTGCTGTCAAGTAAAAAACCTAGCAAGCATACCCAATGGCACCTGTCAATTTATACAGGCTTCGGCTTAAGCAAAATGGTAAATCTCTAGGAATTTGATAAAACATCAGGAACAACACGACTAAGGCACCATCGATGCAAAAATAAAAGCGAAAAGGAAACTTAAGAGATTGAGAGTTCACCGATTGGTCCCATGATCACCTCGACTTAAGCTGGCGGTTGCCCACCGAGCTCGGCAGGTAAAAGTGCAGAGAATCATTGACTCCGGCGGTTGCTTGCCGGTTATCAGGCGATTGATCTCATGATCTAAAAGAAAGAAAAACATTCAGAAACAATTGAAGTAAAAAAGAGAAGAAGAATGAACCCCAAACAAAGGCTCACCTAAAGCAACCGTATTCCCCATAGTAGATTGTCGGCGGGGATGTCGTCGGCGACCTCTCGCTTTCCCCTTTCCTCCAGCACCCCAAAATAGAAACTCAATTAAAATTAAGAAAAATACAGATAACAAAAGAAAAGAGACATGCATGCCTAGATCTTACCTGGATCGAGGCTATCCCGGACGGATTGGGTTGATCAAGTTGTTTTCGAGGTCGATCGATTACTGGCCACTTCATGCCGACGACTTCAAATTGCAGTCGCCCAACGGTCGCTCACCAAGTAAAGAATCTGAAAATGAGAAGGAGAAAGACAAACTATTGTAATAATTCCCTTTATGATTCTTCAAGGAAAAACACCCTCACAGATCTGGGTCCAGAACTTCCTCGACGCAGGATGAATCTGAAAATAAAGAGGAAATAAAGATTTGAGGGACGGAGAGATGGGTAAAGATCATTCTCGTAAGAAACTCTCTTTGCTCAAAAAGAAATTACAGAAACCCACCCGATCCGGCAAAGTTGAGAGAAGAGAAAGAGAGATTCTTGCGAGAATCGTAGCCGCCGGGGATGTAATAGGCTCTCCAGTGTCTGGCCGCACCGACGAAGAAGAATGATTATCATCGGCAGGTTCTCGGTGAGTGAACGATTCTGCAAAACTAATGCCAACAACGGGTTCGCGGTGAGTAATTGACTGCTGGCAACGACCATAGAGTTGAGATAGAGAGAGAAGAGGAAGAGATGTATCCACGCCTCCTCACCAGAGAATCCAAAGACACTTGATTCTCATTTCCAGCATCTCTACAACAAACAAAGCGAGAGAAATGAGAGACTGATGAGCAAAGAAGAATGAGAGAGAAGGAAGAGAGTGTGCAGTGAAATAAGAGAGAGGTTTCTAATTTGCCTCTGAGGCTCTGACCCTCTCTCCTCTCGACCAATTGTTTGTGTGGTGGGTAAAACTTCTCTGCGAAGGATCGTAGTATCCGAGAAACCTCTTGGGACCCGATTACCACTGCAGCACTCCTCCCAAACCTTCCCATCATCACTAATAAGACCAGATGTGAAAAGTACACTGGATTTGAGGCCGGCGCGAAACTCGAAGACCCCTACACAACAAAAGAAAGGCGTGAAGGAGCTGGAAACCGGCGGCCAAGCAACCAGCAACTCCTCTGGACAACATCAGGGCCCATGCCAAGCAGCCAACCAATCAGAAGCAAGTGAATAGTAAAATTGAGTCTGTATGACCAGTAAAACGTGTCTTGCGCTACAGTGATCGGCGTTAGTGGAAATAATTTCTCTTAATGATGTTAAGAATACAGTTTTTAGACTATAATGATATGTTGTAGCTTATCTAAAACGCTGGAGTTGTGTTAGCTTATTAGGTTTTATATAATATATTTATTCTTAATTTAGAAAAATGGGCCCTTTTGTTATCCAATTTACATATTTGATATTTTGAGGGATGACGATGAGTTGGTTCGGGGCGGATGGTGTGTATATACGTTACGCTTTCAAAGTAGTTCGGGTTTTATCCATATCCGTTTGGGTTTCGGGTATCCATGGTTATTTATGGGTAATAATTTTTCTTCATAACTCCAAACAATATGTTAACATTCACACGTATTCTCACATTACGTAAGAGAAAAAGTACAACGATAATTCACTAGAATGAAGAAAATTAATTAAAACAACACAATTTCATGAATATATTATATTTATATGTGAAATATAAAATTTGTTAGAGAAAAATAATGATTATTTCTGTACAAAATACATATGCATGTGTATAATCGGACGGGTTCGGGTTGGATAGTGAGAAACCCATGCCCACCCATTACCCGCAATATTCGGGTTTGGGTTTTACCCAACCCAAATAGGTCAGATTCGGGCTGATATCCACGATTACGTATATTTTTGTCATCCCTAACTTAAATATACAAAATAATAGTTATGTAATTAAATTCAAGTTCTAGTTACAAATTAGTTAAAAGCTCAAGGTTGTCAAATCGACAGTTATGCTGATTTGGCAAGTGATATGGTTCAACCGGTAGTATAGTCAGTTAATTCCAGTTCATGACGGATTTACCAAAGCATGTAGGGGAATGAGAAATCATTAAGACCAACTTAATTTATGTATATAAAAAACATATTTGAATACAATCTCTCTCAAATCTAGATCCATATTTAAGTATAATACAACATTCCAACACAAAATAAAAATTATCATATTTAAATACAACATTTGACGCCAACATCCAAAAAGTCGTAATTGAACTCAACAAATAACATAAGCATTTAAACATTCATACTTGAATCCAACAAATAACATAAATATGAGAATGTGCTTGGGCTGAGCTGAGAGGCGTTGTAAAAAGTTATCAAGAAAAATCAATATTTTTTATTCACCAAAATGATAACATTTTGTTTAAATGTCGTAGATCATCACGTCGATTATACCAGAGCATTCCATGCGTGTCTATAACCGGTATCGGTTGAACCTGGTTGTACTGTCGGCATGCCTAACATAACAACTATGTTAAAAACTAGCGACTGAATTGTTTTTTATCCCAAAGTTCGGTGACCATTTCTGCGAAGTGCAAAACTGACCGAATATGGTTAATATATTTGTCTAACCTGAACTTTTCACATATTTAACATCTTGACCAATATTTTTTATTTATTTATAACATATTGAATTCGTGACCATATTATCCCAAATCTTTACAAAACTAGCAAATTTCGGGAGTTAACCGTTAAGTTGGACAGTCAAACCCGTTGACTAACGGTCAACTCGCCATGTTATAGTCACTCACCCAATACTGACTAGCATTGGGCCTGGCCCGTTGGCCGGGGTCCTACAAAACCTGTAGCTTATGGTTATGATTAGCCAAATTTGTAGTTTAAGAGATTCTATTTCGTGGAAAACAACAAACTCTAATAGCATCTTTGTAACAACACTATCAGCTGATAAAAGCATCCATTTGAGGTTTTAATATGAATATGATGAAACATATAATAATAACCAATAAATACTCGGTTAAAAATAATCCTAAACTCCAATTCTTAAATTGCTCTAATAAAGACGACATAACAACATGCAAGAAAGTCAAATAAAAACAGCAACAATCAAATTATAGAAAAAATGCAGCAAACTTTCTTAGCAGCTTTCCATTCATAACAAACAGCGTTACATTCAAACACAACTTATATGCGATAAACTTGGCAGTGATGAACCAAACTTAAAAAAAGAAAACAATGCATAACGAAAAAAACTATCTATAGTATGAGAAAAGATTGCAGATTACTAAACAGAGGTTCAATAATAGGAACAATAGAAGACATCCATAAGGGAAAAACTATCTCTTAGATGAGAAAATCCATAGTTGAAATTGAACAAAAGTCAATCCATAAGTGGAAAATCTATAACAGAGTTCCAATATCAATCTGACTGAAAATTAGAAATAGAATATTAAATATTACATAGATGAAAACAGAATATTAAGCAGCAACTTCCCATTGTGGCCTTAACACCTTTTCCTGAAGTTCACTCAAAAGATAACTTATCGTTAGATAAATTAGAGGGATCCTGATAGGTTGCCATTTGTATTGGAAAACCCTTATGTTGTGGTCTTCCCTGTTTTTTTAATTCATTGAGCTGCGCAATGGATATTTTTGGATTCTCAATAGCTGGGACCTCGACAATTAAAACAGGTGCATACATAAAGGTTTCCATACAATGCATAGCTTATATGACAGACAAAAGCTGGAAGGAAGAAATAAAAAAAAAAGTAGGCATCCCATCAAAAAAGAATTAGAAGACTCTAATAAATACATGCTTGCATTATGCTAGGACCGGCTTTAATGGCAATTCAACTTAATTGACTACATCATTAGGACTAATATAATCAAGAATCAAACAGTCTAGGACTCTAGGTCCAATATGAAAGGAACATCATTATAATTTCTAATTAATAGACCTGTTTCATTTTGAAGAAAGCTTATTCTACAGTTAAATATCATCAAGACCAGCTGTGAATAAATTGTGTTTATTTCAAGTGAAACTTGACACACACCGTACCCCTAACGATGATCAAATTCTCTAACCTTGCCTCATTTTCATGTGAATGATCATGAAGTCTCGGCTAACGATCTTATGTTAAAATTTGTCTGTCAAGAGACTCAAATTTAGTATCTTATATATGTTAAAATTTGTCTGTCAAGAGACTCAAATTTAGTATCTTATATAATAGAGTAAGTACATTTTATTTGCCAAATCTTTCAAACTTTTCAAATTATCAACCAAACTTTTCAAAATGCAAAGTATTAGCCAAACATTAACTCTCGGTTAGCATTTTTGTTAGTAATGTTCACTTAACAACATGATTATGATTTGGAAGAGACACGTGATGGTCTATATATATTTCAATTTAGTATTTTTATTAAAAAAAGAGTTACAAATTAATTAATGATAACAGACAAATGGTTAATATTTTGATGTGATACAAAATATTTGGATAATTTTTTGTATTTTTAATGGTTTGGATAATAATTTAAATTCTTTGAAAGATTTAGCTATTAATTTTATTTACTTAATATGTATGAATTGCTAATTCTTGGAGTTTGGATAAACCCTCAGTCAATGGTTGTTGTCTATAGGTTGACTTAGAATCTCAAACCAAAAAACTATTCACACACTATCAAGGGTTCTCTTCTTGACATGGTCGTTTAGTGTATAATTTTCCAACTTTTTTTTATGGTCATTTGCAAAATTTTCCTTATTTTTTGTGTTAGTTTTGGAACAAAAATTTTCAATTCCCTCCAAGTAGACTGAAAGTTAAAGGCCCATCCGAAAATTACCTTATCCTTCTAAATTCTAATCACCTATATACGGGTATAGTTTAATCATTTTTCAAGGTTGTCAACCTAGTTTATTCCGTTGGCCCGTCCGAGCAAGTGGAATTAGGGTTAATGAGCCGACTTCTTTAGCTCGGTTTAGCCTAAATATATGGTAAAAATCATTATATTGTTTATACATTTATAAATTATATAAAATCTCATGTACCATATAAATAATAACATATAACATTACACCAAAATAACATGTTGTACTGAAATCCAAAATATAATAAAAGCGGGCCAACCTACGGGTCAACACACGGTTTAACAACTTGTCATTATTCATTTGAGTGATAGATGAGGTTGTGAGTAAGTGGAACTCCGCTAACCACTATGCTTATTTACTCTTTATCCTCCAAATTAATTACATTAAAAGGAAAATTAAAGCTTAAAGAGCAAACCAATAAGGAGTTGCCATGTGGCCCAGTTGCCGGATTTCCTCCTCTCGATCAAGCAGCAAAATATCCCCTATGAAAATACCTCTCTATCCTTCCGTACTGTGCGGTATAGCGCCGAGGTGTTGAGGTGGCAAACTCTACATTCTGACATTCGCTTATAGTATTGTGTACTATAGATAACGTGAATGTCACGTGCTATAAAAATAAATAATATCTATATAAAAAATTTTAGAAAAATTCCCACCATTTATTGTGCACGTTCATAATCGTCTATTGATGAATCATTTGAGCCAATGGCTCGACATCTAATTATGATTAAAAATCCATTGCCAATGTAAACCTATTAGGGTCTGCATAGTCTTTTTCACTATTAATTTAGGTCAACTTACCCGTTTATATAGACAACGAATGAATCAATCCAACAGAAATTGAGAAAATGATATAGCTTTGTAAATAATTTCAGGTTGTAGTCACAAATTGGGTTAAATAAATTAAGTGGTTGAATACTGAATAGTAATTTTTTGTGACTGTACATGGGCGC